TCATCCATCCATCCATCCAGACTTGCCTCCATCTCTCTTCAGTCTGTGACTCAGACTAAATCACTGCTAGCAGCACCGCTATCGTCTATATGTTCAGTCTGAAGCTCTTTGTGGTTGTTTTGTGTCACTTTATGATCATTTTGTGTCTCTCTTTCAGTCATTGTGTGTCTTAAACACACACAGTTACAGTTTCTCCCTGTGTGTGTGTGTGTGTGTGTGTGTGTGTGTTACATCAAGACTTTAAAACCTGAAACGTTCTCCTTCAACTTTTTTTATTCTATCTCTACATTTCATCTGATCTCCATGGATTCCTGTGGTCTCTGCTCCACTGGAGGAGCCAACACCCATGACCTGTGTGTGTGTGTGTGTGTGTGTGTGTGTTAGCGTGTGTGTGGATAACTGGTGGCAGTAAGTGGAGTGTGTTTTGTGGCAGAGCAGCAGCACACACACTCAAACACACAGCTGGCAGCAAGAGAGTTGCACTTAGTGGTTTTAGAGAATCAGAGCGAGTGATGGACAAGTGTGTGTGTGTGTGTGTGTGTGTGTGTGTGTGTGTGTGTGTGTGTGTGTCAGGACAGCCCTGTGATTACAGCAAAGCATGATGGGAGTGGTGGAAGGTCCTGCGGTTGCTCAGGATTAACACACTTCCAGCATGTTGCACAGGTTTGTGTGTTGAAGCACGTCTGCTGGTTTTCGTAACCTGACTGAGATCTGATGACATCACTGCCACACACACACACACACACACACACACACACACACACACACACACACAACGTGACTTACATTCACCTATTGGACTTAATCTAACCTTAAACCAAACTTCACTCTAAAGTTTGATGATTTGTTTGATGCAGATTCGTTTGTGTCCCCAGAAGATGGTAAAGCCCCTTCACACAGGTTTATGTCGCACAACACGAGTAATAAATACACACTCACACACTCTATACTTGTGAGGACCCTGACTAGTTAACAAACCTCCGATGGTTCGACCCAAAGTGAGGACCGAACACAACGTCCCTCTACTGACTCTGGTCCTCACAAAGGTAGCCACACCCACACCCACACACACACACACACCTACACACACACACACACACACACACACACACACACTCTGACCACAGCCTGGTTGTGCCAAACTATAAGTGGAACCATCTTCTTCTTCTTCTTCTCTTCATGGCTTCATGCTGACAGACTCTTGCTCTGTGCTGCTGCTGTTTGGTGTCACTCTGCTGCCTCCTGGTGGTCAGCGGTGGAACTGCACGACTCATCCTGCAGAAGCCAGGTTCAGTAAAACCAACGTTTAAACATTTCACACAAATGAGGTGAGTTTGCTCACCATGAGGAGGACGTGTGATGTCTTCTGTTGCCCCTGAAGATGTCATCAGGGCGGGTTGGTCCATTTTTAAATTAAAAATTCAGTTTTCAGACCGGTGGTGTTGCCTTCAAAAGACATGTCTGTAGGGAGGCTCTGATTCAATAATGCCGTCGTCCAGGTGCATTCTGGGAAATGTAGGTTCCACCGCCTTCTTCAAAACACTCTAAGGATCTTCATCTGCTGAGGAAGACCATGAAACATGACCGAAAGCTGCAGAAACAGACCATGTGATGAGACTAAGTGCTTGTTAGACCATGAATTTACTTGCTCACAAGTATTTGAATGCATTTACTCGAGTACTGCGTTTACTCGAGTACAACTTTAAGGCACTTTGAGTATTTACATTTTTATAGCATTTTATGGCACAACTTTTTACTTCACTGCATTCATGTGACAGCTTCAGTTCCAGATTACTTCTACACACATACACGTCACCAAAAACCTGCTTTGTTTGTATTTATTATTATTTATTTATTAATTAAACCGTTTCATTTGTCTTGTTTTGTGGGTCGGTTAAAGAGACGTTTGTAGTTTTGCTCTACAGCCAGGTGATTTTTATTCATTGTCTCGAGAGGAAAGTCCCTCCTCAGCTTTTAAACTCATTTTCTTTCATAATTTAATACATAAACTGTCTCCTAAAGCGGTGCCAGAAATCTGATGAATACTGAGCGAATGGCGTGTTAGCATCAGTTCATCTATCAGCGTCACACATCCACGTGTCCACAGTGACGGTGGAGCAGATCGGTCATTTATTTTGAACATCTGGTTTCATGTGTGTTACAACATGAAGGAATCATATAAACACGAGTGTTTGTATTTCTAGATGACACACAAGGAAGAATCATCATCCAGAGGAAACAGAGGTTTGGGAGGTTAAATATAATTTCCAGTTATGTTCAGTTTCATACAAACAGTATCGAACACGTTTAGCGCAGAGACCTGCCATCCGTTAACATGTGGTGATAAATCAACAACTCAAAACAATCTCTTCCTCTGAAGGCATCGGTTTGGTCCGACTCAGTCCAGCCTGACGCTCCACTGGAAACCAGTGAAACCAGCTCATCTCTCCAGTCGGCTCCACTCGGCCGGAGGGTCTCTGGGTCCTCTGGGCTTCTGGACACGACAGTTAAAGCCTGAAAAGCAGCAGAAGATCCAGGCCAGCGTTTAGTGAACCCTCCAGCTCGCACATTATTTTCACAGCATCGCCGCCCCCGTCCCACCTACACAGTGTTTAGCATTCATACGCCGGACGCATGAGTAACACACCACAGCGTAGTAGTGGGCAGATATTAATACACACCGAGTCCTATTTAAACTCATCCTGTGGAGTATTAATAGCTGAAACGATGAACAGCGTATGGAGGTGATGAATCTTTAATAGCACACGTTGGCCTTCAGCTGCAGGAAAGCAAAGAGGAGTCTGAACTTACAAACGCTGATGAAAGCCGTGCAGCTTAATGCAGAAACTAAGCTGCAATAACCACAAGCACGTGACTGCTCAGTGATTAATGTGGTGACGGATTCGGGTTTGGAAGGTGTCGCTCTGAGAAGTTGCAGCAGCTGTGTGCAGCAAAAACCTGAATATTAACGCACCAGAACGTCAAAACCCAGGACATGATTCCACCAAAACGTCAAAAATCTGCACAATAACGCACCGAAATATCAAAAAACGTGATTATCAGCGCACCATAACATCAAAAAATCTGAATAAAAATCCACTAAAATGTCTAAAACCTGGATATTAGCGCACCCAAATATCCATAAACTGGATATTAAGACAGCAAAGTGTCAAAAACACTGATGTTGGGGTACAGAAGCATAAAAAAAAATGACTTTCATGCACCAAAGTACCAAAAAATAGGACATAAGCACACCAAAAATCAAAAAACCTGAATGAAAACACATCAAAACATCAAAAATGTGGAGATGAATGCACCAAAACTTCTAAAATCTGAATATTAAGACACCAAAAATGAATGAAAACAAACCAAATCATCAAAAATCGATATGATAATGCACCAAATCATCAAAAACTTAGCAGTTTACTGAAACATGAAAAAGCTGGATAGTAGCTCAGCTAAACATCCGTGTGCTGTTCAGGTTCAGGTGTACTGACCGATGCCTCCTGGTGAGCAGAAGCTGGTCACGTTTGAGACTGAAGAGGAGAAATCCTCATAATCGTTGTCAGATGGTGAAAGACGTTCAGCTGGAAGACAAGAGAGTCCGTTTATGTTTCACTTCCCAAACAGCCAACCGTCCTCCACAGTCCTCTTCTCACCTGAAACCAGCTGGTAGTCGAGCACCTCGCTGGGCCCGTGACCGCTCGGCGTTGCGATGTCGTAAACGGGCGTGGTCGACCTCGGGAAGCTGGGAGGCTTCGCTCGCGGTTTGACGGTGCTGTAGATGGGAGCCGCTGATGCTCCGGCCTGTTCGTTGTCATAGTGATGGGAGGAGGGCGTTGTCCTGGAAACATCATCACCCAGTGTGTTAGCTTGTTAGCATGTGAGCATTACGTGTGATTCCTGCATGTTACACAACTATCACGGTTCATTTTAATTTAAATGCAGTTCCAGGTCAGACACCATGTTTGGTTTGAATGTCTGCCATGTAAAATGCTGTAGTTAGCTTTGTTAGCATCGATAGCGCCTTCAGGACTGAGCCGGATCACGTCCAGGTTCACCTTTATCTGTTTACGTGTGTGGACTGTGTTTAGAAATAAACTCCTCGACACAGTGTCAGTGTTAGGCTAGCTATTGTAATCATAGCAAGCTAAGCTAACTATACATAGGGTCAAAGATAATTTATTTAGATTAAATGTTATTCATTTTCTGCAGTGAAGAGCATGTAGCTAGCTAGTACTCAGGTTTTGACAGGCTGCTAGCTGCTGTTAGCAGGCTGCACCAATGATTAGTATTTATTGTCCCGGTCATACGAAGTGCTTCTGTCAGCCAACATGAGTGTTCACACGTCATCTAGAGCTGCTTATTGCAGGACTGCAGCAGCGTGAACATCACCTGCAGTCGCGTTTGTGTTTTCACAACGTTCTGAGGGAAACGTCTGACTGGAAAGTTTTGAATATTCAGTCACAAATAATAGCGTTGAATAACAGTATTGAATATTATTTCATGCCTTTGATTGATTTGATGGATTTTATTTATATATCAGTCTTCTCAGGATTAGTTTTATGTATTGATTTGTCTATTTTAGTCCATCCAATGTAACTTTCATTACTTTGTTTTTATTATTGTCTTATCCTGTTTTGAGTAGTTTTGAATCTGTTTGCTCTTCAGTCCTCTGTCTACCTACATTTATTTATTTATTTCATTTCCTGTGAGCTCATCTGGCGTTTCCTCTTCACGTGCTATTGAGATGTTTTCAGTTCCTCCGTCGCTGTGTTTCTGTCCTTCATGTATACCATGACGGTGGGCTGTGAAGCGCTTTGTGATGCATTTCCTGTGTATAAATAAAGTCTGATTATTACCTGCTTCCGATGCTGGATCGGGGTTTGGCCACCACGGAGTAGGCGGGGCCTGATGGCGGTGGGTGGGGCTGTTTGGGCTTGTTGACCACAGCGTACGTATCGTTCATGTCAACCTGCTTCGACAGCCTGTTCATGGGCAGAGTGAGTGTTAGCGGCTAGCTGAGGCTGCTCACAGGTACAGGTGTTATCCAGGTGTGTTCTGAAGCGACCCTTCATCAGCCTGATGTGTGATGAGGAGCCACACAGATGTGAGCGTCTCCGTCTACATGTGCTCCTCTGTGGGAAAGTCAAGGTTTAGACCGAGGCCAGAGGCCAGCGGGGAGGCTTCATGTCTGATAGCACCCAGCAGATGGTGTGGTGATAAGATGCTAAAGCTAGTTTGTTAGTCGGAGGTGTGATGCTGCTTCACACGCACACGCTGAGCTCTGATTGGCTGCTTCTCCTTCTTGTATTTGAACCACTATACACCTGAATAAAAGAAAAGTCTTCTGTTTTCATCAGCGTCCTCTCCTTGTTTCCTCGCTCTTCTCTCCTTTTCTAATTCCTTCTCATCCTTCCTTCCTTGCCTCCTCTCCTAAACATCCTCCTCCCGTCCTTCCTTTTCCTCTTTCGCTTCCCCTCTGCTGCTTCTTCTATTTCTTCTATTTCTTCTTCTCGTTTCCTCACCTCCTACACCTCCTTCCTCACCTGTTTCCTTCCTATATTTACTCCTCCTCCCCTCCTCGCTCAGCTCAGTTTCCACGGTAACGCGGGAACATATGGGATGGAGGGAAGGAGGAGGTGAGAAAGTGTTAATTTAACACATCAGGGTGAAACATCCATCTGTCTCCTGCACGGACGGACAGACAGTCAACGAATCAGACAGACAGACAGTAAATAAAACAGACAGTAAATGAGACGGACGGACGGACGGACAGGTGTGTGATGTACCTGTTTGTGGAAGAAGCAGCTGTAGAGTTTTTCTTCTCTGTTCTCTTGTGCTGCAGAAACAGAAAACTCAGTTCAGTCTTCTAAAGAGGAACAAACGGATTCAGATATCGATCGATGGACAGAAAACTGATTTACAGGATTCATCGACACCGGACGGGCGTGAGGCCGCGACGACACACCTGGACCAGGACGTCAAGAATCTGAGCTTCAAGCAACGAGGAACAGAAAAGTGTTTCTAAAGGTCCGTTTCCCTTTTTTCTTTCTTTGAGTAATCGAGTCGTCGCTTTGAGCTCCGGTGACATGAAAACTGCTCTCAGAGTCTTTCTGTAAACGACTCGATGAGTGGAAGGAGATAAGAGTCCAATCAGCTCAGAGCTTGTTGGAACATCTGCTTGTTCTAAGGTGAGCTGGATCAGAATTACCTGTCCTGGTCTGAAGGGGACTCGAAGCCGACCTCCCCGTCAGCGGTGCTCCTCCATCGCCTCCGATTCGTCGGGTTTGTCAAACGTCCGTGTAAATGTGTCTGTGAACAAGCTGCTGCTAAACCGTCTGCAGCAGATGATTTACATACAGGAAGTTGGCGCTACTTCCTCCTTGTGCAGCTGCTCCGATTACTTCCTCCATCACACTCACTTCACCATAAAGCAGAACAGAAACTGTAGCTGGGTGGACGATGCGGAGTTCCTCAGCGTCTCTGCAGAGAGCTGGAGCGTTTGACCTCGGACAGGTTTGACCTCCAGGGCGGAAGCTTTAACTTGGATGGAGATAGGTGGAGTTATCGTCCACGAATTGCAACGCTGGCAGTCAGTTTCCTTGAGGTTGGACGTTTTACAAGTTGGTAGTTTTACTTTCAAGTTAAACCCTGGACACGTTGGAAGTTTGATCTCTGACAAGTTGGTAGTTTTACTTGGACATTAAAAGGTTCACCTTGGAAAGATCTGACTTTGATCCTGGACAGGTTGGAAGTTTCACCTCAGATGAGCTTATAGTTTATGTTGAGGTCGAAAGTTTTCCTCAAAATGTAACGTTTTACCTCGACAGGTGGGACATCTTACCTCAGAAAGATGGGAGTTTGATCTTGCACAAGTTGGTAGTTCTACCTCGAGGTTGGAAGTTTTAATTCAGGGGTTGCAAGTTGGACCTCGGACAGGTTAAGAGTTAGAACTTTTAGCTCAAGTCGGAGTTTGACCTTGGATAAGTTTGTAGTTTCACCCCGAGTTGAAAAGTTTTCCCTCAAACATTTTCCTCAGACAGGTTGACCTCGGACAAGTTGTTAGCTTCACCTGGAGGTTTAAAGTTTCTCTTCGAGGATGGAAGTCTCGTCTCTGGCTGGTGGGAAGCTTCACTACAGACGTGATGGAGGGTTAGAGTCGTACCTGAGACACGTTGGAGTAGAGCCGGGAAGGCGACACCTGCAGGAAACGTTCCAACATGGAGATGGCGGCGGTGAAGATGAACTGGTACTGTTCCTGCAACGTTCATGGAACCAACGTTTAAACCAGGAGTTACAGAAATAAAGAGAAAACTATGATTGACCAAGTCAGAGTCCAAACAAGAATATTGTTGAATAAAACTCTAAATCACAACTTAAAGCTGTTCATACTGACGGACAAAGTAGAACAGTCAGGATATAAACGAACAGAACTCTGGTTCTGACCTTCGTCTGCACAGCTGAAGGTCTCTGTCTGCGGAGGTCCAACACGATGTCCATGATGCTGAAATCTGCTGCGACTGCCTGCACAACAACAACAACAACAACACAATGAAACCACAACAACAACAACAACAACAACAACACAATGAAACAA